TAATTCATCTCTGAGCAGTAAGCAGTGGTACACAGGGCTGGGCCTCTGAGACACCCTCTTACCCCTCTTACCCCTCGCTGGTTTGTTCTCAGGTCTATAGATTTAATGGCTCCCCAGGTTCCTGGAAAAACAGTGCCTGACAGATTGGCACTGTGGCTTTGCTGTGCATGAAAGAACTTTGGCATAGTCACCTGTCCTCCACTCTCCTCTCCCAATCTCATCACTCAGCAGGTTCAACACACCAAGTTTTTAGTGATTTTTGAGGGAGAGGATATAAGAGAAGACTCCATGAATGGATGGAAGAATAAAGGAAAGAAAAGGAGGAGGATTCTTAATCACACCCCAACCAGTCCTTCTTCCTCCTAGGGCTGAGCTACAATCATGCTTGTTCAGTGACCCCCATGATTCTAAGGGGATATCAAACCAAATGCCCCTAGGGGCCAGTAGGCAACATAAATAAAGTGGGCCCAAATGGGTCCCTTGGGTTCCCTAACGGTATATGCCCAATATAAAAGGGATAGTCACTTCTCAGTTCCCTCTGAGTGTTGCCATGTAGGAATATGGGACCTCAAGACATCAGATGTTGAAGGAACACAAAACAAAGGCGTGATTAAGAGGTATTGGAAATGTAGAAATTTATGCAAAAATCTTTCCACTTAAAATGTTGACAACAGTGCGCAGGCCAAAGAAAACATATCTGCAGGCTGGATACAGTAAGATGGTTCCCTAATTTGCAATTTACGCTTTAGAGCAAGCTACTCAAAGTGTGACCCACAGACCTCTCCACGAACTATTTGTTCCCAATCTGTGACAAGACAGGGAGCCAACACTAGAATGTAAATCATGTAAATCACTAAGAAAACCATATAGTTCAGCTGACATCCTTTCCACAGTGAGATTTTCTTTATAGAGGACACAGGGCACTGATTCTATTCCGGCACAAGCCCCTTATCTCATTGCAGGTGGCATTTTTGCTAGCATTACTCTCTGGACAAACTTTCAAGGACCTTTATCATGGTGCAGTCTCAAAGACTTGGATGGACCCATATCTTGGCTCCCTAAAGCCCAGTACCCTGTAAGGGATGGAAAGGAGAAAGGGGAGACAAAAACTCCAGTAGGGTCTGGGAAGTTGCATATGGATGGTGCAAGACTAAGCCAGGCAAGTAGGACCCGCCTGTTCTCCAGTGGAGCTGAGTGTACAGTGTGGGCAGGCAGGATGGTGGGCAGCCTCCCAGGCCACTTATGCTCTTCCCTCTCTCTCCCCCCACCCTTTTTTTTAAGATTTTATTTCTTTATTTATTTGAGAGACAGAGAGAGCACAAGCAGGGGCAGGGGCTGGGAGAGAGGGAGAAGCAGGGAATCTCAAGCTGACTCTGCCCTAAGCGTGGAGCCTGACGTGGGGCTCGATCCCACAAACCTGAGATCATGACCTGAGCCAAAACCAAGAGTCAGACATTTAACTGTCTCAGCCTCCCAGGCTCCCCTTTCCCTCTCTTAACATACCCAACACCTGCACTCTCTTAGGCACATAAGAGTTTTGCACTTGTATCTAGTCAAGGTATATTGTATGTCATGGATGCTCCTTCTAGTGGGACTTGTCTATTTGTTTATTGTCTATCTCCTCATCACTGCCACCCCTTCCCCAGGCCCCACCATAGATTATAAGCTCCAGGAAGATAGGGGGTCTAGACCAGTGACTAGTACATAGTAGATACTCTGTAAATATCAAATGAATGACTGATGTTATAGCAAAGGTACAGAAGACAGGTGAACACATCATGCTAATTAGATAGGTAAAACAATTAAAAAAAAAAAAGTTTCCAGAGGCTGACATATACCTTTCTAAGGAGCTGTTAAGTATATACCTTGTTATTATGTCCAGGCCAAAAGAGATGCTCAGTAGCCATTAATTATGGAATGGGACATGTTCAAAGGGCAAGATCCTTGAAAAGACTGACATTGGTAGATATGGGAAGAATTCAGGATGCGGGTTCCCAGACATCGAGCTAGTAAATGATTGATTGATAATCTTTTGAGAAAAGAATAATTTCCTATCTAAGGAAATTTGAGAGAGATTCAGCCCAAAGATGGAGGACCAGTGGAGGACCACAAGTCTATGCAAGCCAAAGGGTGCGGCTCATGTGAATGATGGAGAGATTTTCATCTCCCCCTTCTTTAGTGCAATTCCTAAAACTAATCCTGCTTATCAATCATATTACATCCCTTTCAGTCTCTCTACCTTCCTTGTTCTCTCACAACTTCAAATCCATTATGGTGGAGTTTTGTAGCCTTTTCTAATATTTAGAAACTCATTATTTTTCTAATCTCCTAAGCCTATTTCCTCCTATTCTCAGTACTAGTGGAAGAAAGGGGTTGCTCTAAATGTTTTTTTTTTGAAGTCTTTTTCTTACTCTCATCATTCAAAAGTTTCTTCTATTGCAACTTATATTAATTATTAATATCATCCTTCCTGAAACTTCATCACCATCTCTACCAGAACCTTCCTCTAACTGCATCCAAGGTTTCAGTGCTTATCTCAGAATTTTTAAGTCTGCCCTACTCCTGCCAGTAGCCATAGTAAGTTCAGGGGTATCATAGTAATGATCACAAATATAATTAGTATGTTACTACTTGTTGAGTACCTACCATGTGCCAATCACTATGCTAGTGCTAGTCTGTCTTACAGACAGATTCTAATCTCCAACAACCCTGCAAGGTAGGTTTCATCCTCCATTTACACAAGAATGCATGATTCAGACCAGTTCCATAACTGGCCCAAAGCCACACATTTAGTTAGCCAATGGAACCAGAAGGTAAACACAAATATAACTGATGCCACAGCCCAAGCTCCTCCCAGGCTTCCCCAACAATAAAAAAAAGAGCTACCATTTGCTAATGACTATCACAGGACAGCGACTGACTTTATACCAATTATTTCTAAATTGCACAGTAATCCCTGAAGTCCATATCATCCACACTTTCAAGACAGGACAGATGGAGCTCAGAAACATTCTAAGTCACACAGGTGGTCAAAGATCTGAACTCAGATCACCCTGTGTCCAACATTTTTGCTCTCTGGACAGACCACACTGACATACAGAAACATCTCTCTGTTGACCTTGCTGAAACCCTGCTCCCGTTTTCTGTTGCTGCACACAAACCACCCAGATTTAGTGGCTTAAAACAGTAATAATCGCACATTTTCCTCACAAATCCACAATTTGGGCAGGGACCAGCAGGAAAGGCTCCTCTCTGCTCCACATGGCAGCAGCCTGGATGGTGCAACCAAAGGCTTGAGGATCTGCTTCCCAGAAGGTTCCTTTCGGGACTGCCAGAGTACTGCTGGATTTTAGCTGGGAGCTCGGCCCGGGCTGAGAGCTGGCTCACACTGTCAGTGCCTCTCCCCATAGATCTTTCCATGTGACCCGGGCTTCCTCAGAGCACAGTCACTGGGTTCCAAAGAGAAGCATCTCTCAAGAGAGCCCGATGGAAGTGACACTGCCTTTTGCGACCTTGTCGCACAAGCTACACAGCATCACTTCCAGCACATCGTTAGAAGCCAGTCCCTGGGACCAGCCCATATTTAAGGGGAAGTGTATTCAACTGCGCCTCTTATGAGAAGAATATCACAGAACATGCACACCTGTTTTAAAATCGCCACACACACTGCCCCCCACCCTCTCACCCATTTCATCTCTGTTCTGCTAAACTAGCCATGAGAATAATGCACTTCAACCACCTCAGCATCGCTGAGGAAGGCACCAAACACAAGACTTTGACTCTAGGGCTCACACTCTTAAACTGTTTCCTACTCTCAACTCTCTCCCACTACCTTACTGCTCCTGAACTTAACTTTCATCAAGAACTCTAATCCCTTTCTTCACATTCTTCAAGTCCTTCATCTCTCAATTTGGGCTCCAGAGTCAGGAATTTCACATAAGATGCCTCTTCTGGCATCTTATAATTCTTCACATCTCCTTCATTATCTACACCCTTTCCATCACCTTGTCATCTGTCTTCCTTTCCCACAATTCCTCTCAAATTATTTACTCAGAAATTACCAATTACCTCCTAATCCCCCTAATTACCTGCTCTCTTCTCTCATTTTCCTTCCTAATTCTGCATCACCTGATATGGTTGTCTACTCTGTCTTTAAGTTTTTCCCTTTTTCGTATCCTGCGATACGTTTGCCTTGCCTCAATTCATCTCAGTTTAATAGAGGAGCCCAAACACTAACAGGAAGGCCAGTCCTAAAAGCAGAACGAGGGTAAGCATATGATGAATGCTAGCACAGCAAAGCAAGCTGCCATATGTGTAAACCAAGTGACTGTGTTATCCTCACGAGGGGCATGAGACTGAGATGAAAATATTGCAATGGCCAGGATTTGTAAGTCTGCACAGAAGTATCTGCCCCAACCACTGGGATCATGATTCACAGGAAAGAGTTCTATCTTAAGGAGGAATGTAAAGTGGCTCTAAACTTTTCTTGAGCCATGGAACTTTTATATTGTCTAATGAAAGCTCTAGATCTTCCCCTTAGACTAAAAATATCTAGAGACAGAGACACACAAATATTTGAATAAGGAGGCTTAGTGTGTTCATTTGGGGCATATTATATTTATTGAATTTGAAGTGCCCGTGGGACTCCAAAGTGGAGTTTACTAGGAAACAGTTGGACATAGAGTTACATGCTCAGGAAAGAAATTCAAACTAAACTAGAGATTTTGGAGGCAATAAATACAGGCTAGCTAACATCACTGGGTGGAGTTCATAACCCCTACAACATAAATATGGTAGATTGACATGTATGTTAGGAGTAGACTCCTGGGAAACAACAGAAGGTCAAGAGAAAGTAGAACACACAAAGAGACTGGTGAGGAGCAGCCAATAAGTTAAGGGGAAAACCTACAGAGAGTGGTTTTCATAGATGTCAGAGAATTTCAAAAAGAAAGGGGTGTGTAACATTCAGTAACTATTCAATAATTGCCTTTGTCTTATAGGTTGAAGATTCAGCAGTAAAAAAGGTGAGCAAAGTCCATGACCTATGGGATGAACAGACATTTAATTAGTCATCCTGAGTGTGATGAGCTAAACCAACAATGCTCTTTTGGGAAGAGAGGTTTACATCTAAGTTCACATCAGGACTCTATTCCTGTTCTCTGCTTCCCTACACAGCCAGTCTGAAGCCAGCTCACCAACTTTCAGAGGTACCTACCTGTTCATCCCAGTAATATTCTGCCACCTCAGCTTATACCTGCCACCACAACATAGGTCCTGAGCAGCCGATTCCTGCCCACGTGAGTACCTTCTCAGAGTCCTCTGTCACTCTATACCTGACAAGGGCTCTGTGCTGGTTTAAATCCAGGCTCCACTGCTCACTAGCTAAGTAACTCTGAGCAAGTACTTAACCTCCTCTATGAACTTCAGTTTTCTCATCTGTAAACTGAAAGTGATGCTATCTCCCTCCTGCTGATATCACAGGGCATTAAATCAGAAAATGTATTGTAAAGCACAGAACACAATGCTTGGCCGAATGCTCGTTAAATATCAAAACAAAAAGGGAAAAGAAGACTAAGATGTGGTTAGCACAGTTCAACCTCCCTTGATTTGGGGCCGAAGCTACAGAAAGCCCAGCCCTCCCCCATCACAACATTTAAGGGAGTAACAGGAAACTGTGTATTTTGGAATACTTGTGAGAACCTTCCTCCTCTCTCAAATACAAGAGAGAGGTCAAATCATATAAGCTTGAAAAGTGTCCGCCAACTAGGCAAGAACACCTTGGGTGAGTTTCAAAAGCCATTTCAATTGACTAGGGAAGGCAAAGCCAGATATCAGTAAGTTGCAAAGTGAATGGGAAGTGAGAAAATGAAAGTTATATAAACTTCCCTTTCAGGAAGTGTGGCCACAGCCGGCAGCAGAACTGGGCACTACTGAATTTTAATTAGCTTGTGCTCCTCTAAAATCACCTGAACCTTCCCTAAATAGAGCTGAATTGGTCTTCTTGGCCTTATTTGAACAAAATCTCATTTATTTTCTCTCAGATATGCAACAAGTTAAGGTTGTTTTAAATATTCATCCTTTTCTAATCACCAACTCTCTCTATCCTGCCAATTTGATGACATTTCTCTATCAGGAGGAGCGGCTAAATCTCTCTCTTTCTAGAGGTGTTTAAGAAATGGATAGACGTTATTGCTGAAAGGATTAAACTTTGGTTTAAACTAGGTGACCTCTGAAGTCCCTTTCTCAAAAGCAGAAGTTAATGCTCTTCTTCAAGCTCCTCTATCTAAAATCAATTCTAAGTAGCCCTACCTATCTCTTCACTGAGAAAGGACTGATATATTCTTACACTATACTCCCTTTCTGATGGTATCAGATGTGCACCCTGATGCCAGGTACTTAGAGAGGCTCCTGATGGGCTTTCAATTCCACTGCCCCATTTATATTTTGCTTTCAGTGCCAAAAAAGTCAAGAGGACCATATTCACACAGGATTTCTCTCATTAAAGCCAAACATGAGCCTGAACCCCCCACCTTTACCACTCAAACCAATAACGACCTCATTTAATTCCAGCTAGAACAATGTCTTTCACTTAAAATTAATGTCTTGTCCACATAAAATTGAAATACAGAATGCAGCCTTCCTGATGGTAAGTAGAAAGCATAAAGGTGACTTTTAAGGAGATAAATTTATTCTGTCAGGGAAGGAATAAAAACCTTGTGCTATTCACCTGTGACTTGAACACTCCTAAGCAATGAGTTCTTCCTTATTTGTAACTAAATATGATCTGTCACTCAGCCTTCCCTTGCTGTCATGTGTTAAATTAAAATATATCATTAATATATACATCACTTCTGATCCTCACATGGTTAATGGCTATTAAAAGACCAGGCAGTGTGCTGGCGTCCGATAGCCATGCATACAGAATAATATACCATACAAATGGATAGGTGGTAGGGAACATGGTCTTCAAATTACTTAAAATACCATAATTGTATCACCTCCATTTACAGAGAATATCAAGCAAGGCAGTACAAACTGTTTTGAGTTAATGGAATAATAAAGAATTACGATAATCCAATAGAGATTTCTGGAAATAAAATTATATAGAAATATTTGTGTTGTTTAATATGACAGCCCAAATTTTAAAACAGGAAAATATGTTAGATAAATGAACACAGAAGAGGTATTTTCTTCAATGAGTCAAAATCAAGAGTCTTGCATTCAATCCTCCATTATCTCTTTTCTAGCTACAAAAGGAGACAAATTATATTGGCTATTCTCTCAAAGAAAACTTAGCTCAGGCTGTGTTTTTGTTGTATCACTTCCAGTGCAGATGCAACTCATACTTGGGGAATACCTACTAGTTGCCAAGTATTTTATTTAATCCCCACAACAAATGTTCAAAATTTATTGTAGCATCTTCATCATCATCATCATCCCCATTTTTCAGATTGGGAAACCAAACAACAGAACATCTAAGTAACTGGCTCAAAATCACCAGTGAAGACAGTTGATTCTGCCTCTCAATAAGGAAAATAAGGCTCAGAATAGACAACTATCTCAATCAAAGTCAGAAATGCAATCAAACTAAAATTCAAACCCCTCTTTTTTTTTTTAACTTTTTATTATGAGGATACTGAAATAGACATTCAACTAGAGAGAATGGTATTATGAACCCCAAACAAGACTTTTAGTTCCAAGTCTAAAGCCCTTTTTTTTCCTGGAACATGTTTCATTTATGAGATAGAAGTATTTATCACATCAATTTTTCATAGAAATAATTTCACTGCTGTTTTTAATTTTAAAGGTAATACATGTTCACTATAAAACCATTCATCGAAAAAGACATGAAATAACAAGTGTTGGTGAAGATGTGGAGAAAAAGGAACCCTTGTGACTGTTGGTAGGAATGCAAACTGTACAGCTACTATAGAAAATAGTATGGGGGTGCCTGGGTGGCTCAGTCGTTAAGCGTCTGCCTTCGGCTCAGGTCATGATCTCCATGTCCTGGGATCGAGCCCCGCATCAGGCTCCCTGCTCAGCGGGGAGTCTGCTTCTCCCTCTCCCTCTGCCTCTCCCCACTGCTCCTACTCTCTCTCTCTCTCTGTATCTCTCTGTCTCAAATGAATAAATTAAAAAAAAAAAATTCTATTAAAAAAAAAGAAAATAGTATGGAGGTTCCTCAAAAAATTAAAAACAGAATTATCATATGATCCAATAATTCCACTACTATTTACTCAAAGAATACAAAAACACTAATTCAAAAAGATACATGCACCCCTATTTTCAGTACAACATTATTTACAATAGCCAAAATTGTCAATTTTACAATAGCCAAGTGTTCATCAATGAATGAATGGATAAAAAAGATGTGAGATATATATATATTTATTTATATGTATGTACACACAATGGAATATTACTCAGCCATAAAAAAGAATGAAATCTTGCCATCTGCAATAACATGGATTTATCTGGTGGGTATAATGATAAGTGAAATAAGTCAGAGAGAGAAAGACAAATACATATGATTTCACTATGTGGAATTTAAGAAACAAATCAAACAACAATAAAAAAGACAAAAAAAATGGACTCTTAATACACAGAACAGATTAGTGGTTGCCACAGGGGAGGCGTGTGGGGGTGGGTCAAACAGATAAAGGGCGTCAAAAATATACTTATCATGATGAGCCCTAAGTAATGTATAAAATTGCTGAATCATTATATTGTACACCTGAAACTAATATAATACTGTATGTTAATTATCTATCAACAAAACTTTAAAAAATAAAAGATTAAAAAGACATTCATTCAGAAAAGTTTGCCTCTATTAATAGCTTGTGCAAATCCTTCTAGACTTTCTCTACTCAGACATATACATGTATAGAGATACAATTATTTTTTACAAGATGGAATCATACTACATACACTCTTAAAACCTACTAATTTTGCTCTTTAAATGTACAATGGACATATTTCCATTTCAATAAACATTTATCTATAGCTTCATTCTTAATGTTTACATTGTACTCCATGGTATCGATGAACCATCATTTCCTTAACCAATCCTTTGTTGATGAACATTTATGTTTTTTTACCATAAAAACATTGTGGCAAATTTCCTATCTTATACATCTTTCTATTCTTATAAAATTAATTCTTAGAAGTTCCTGGCACATAATAGGTTCTTAATAAATTTGTTGAATTAATAGACGAATGAACAGTGAAATGGTTTGGCCAAAGAACTGGTAAATCTTATATTTTGATATGTATAGCTAAATTACCTCCTTGAAAGCAATTAATCCATCTTCTGTTATTTATGTCTTATTGTTTTAACTTTGTTTATGGTTTAAATATTTCAGGAAGTTTCAAATCTTCTACTTTGTGGTTCTGTCTTAGGGACAGTGATGTGTAGGAGAGCCCAACATCTTGTGAAAGCCAACTGGTGAATTTTCAGAAATTTTGAGAACCAGTTATAAAATGTAGCCATTATTTTAAAACTATGTAAACTTACAATTAAATAATTTATATTTAAAATAGAGATGGGATGCCTGGATGGCTCAGTCGGTTAAGCGTCTGCCTTCGGCTCAGGTCATGATCTCAGGGTCCTAGGATCAAGTCCCACATAAGGCTCCTTGCTCAGCAGGGAGTCTGTTTCTCCCTTTCCCTCTGCCTGCCGCTCCCCCTTGGCCTGTGCTCAGTCGCTCTCTTACAACTAAATAAATAAAATCTTTTAAAAAATTAAAAAAAAATAAAACAGGGTAGTAAATACTCCAGTGCACTACTTCCTAGTTATTTTTCTATATTTTACTATTATCTACACTCTCAAAGTTGTAAGTATCGTATTATCAACCAAGAAAAGAGGCAGAACTGAAATAAAACAAAAGCATTCATTTAGGGTCTCAGAATTACAGTTGAGGGAGCACAGGTTTAGGTAGCAACCTAAACTGTGTCCCACTAGGGAGTAAAAGTCAGGGTTTTGTTTTGTTTTTTTTTTAACACAAAAGGGAATGCTTGTACATGTTGTTTACAAAGAATTTTGATTGGTGTTTGTAGCAGAAAATTAATCTTGGCTAAACATAATTGGTTGCTAAAACTATCACTAAGCAAAAGCCTGTTACTGTAGCAAGTTGCAGATGTTCCTACAGAGTCCTTGGAATGTTTGGCCCAGTTCAGAAGTTCATGTTTTCACCCAGTGAAGACATGCATAAAGCCCATCTCCCCTCAGCTCCATTTTAAAACCCCCTGACAGGGGGCGCCTGGGTGGCTCAGTCGGTTAAGCGACTGCCTTCGGCTC